TTTTTATTTAAATTGATTCTTATATTATTTATGCTTCTTTCATTAATTGTTAGAGTTATTCTTCTTCGCTTTATGCATTATTATGTTTAACTCATTCATGGATGATTATTTCTTTTCGTGATATGGACACATACGGGGAAACCAGATTTGGAGAATTGCTCCCAAAAGCAGTATTGCCTAGACATAGAAGATATGAGTTTTTGGTTATCTTAAGCTTCTGTGCGTATGTAATGTAGAATTAATTGCTAGGGAGACAAGACATCAGGTTTTAAGTACTTTAGAAAATGATATTAATATTAATGAAGAAGATGAATTCATATATGATGAGAGGAACTTGGTGAACTCTAAACCCTACACACATAATTTGTCTCATATTTTCAACATCATCCTTCACCTTTGGTTTTTCTTTCAATCGGTCAAAATTGCATTCATAACATTTGCATTTAAAATCACTAAATTCTTCTTCAAAAGTCTTAATTAGTTGGATAATCACATAACTGTTTAGTGTCATGAGTCCTTTGGGAAACGATACTTGGTCTTACCATTTATTATTACTTTATACGATTCGGTACACTTGCCGATATCTTAATTAACATCTTCCCCAACAACAAATGAATTTAGTTTCCATTGTCATGGAGAAACTTGGGTGTAAATGATGGAAGAATGAGATAAAAACCTATAAAATAGAAGAGATAGCTCTTGCATGCCAAATCTGCCTTCAAAGGGTCGAAAATGTGTTTTTGAGCATCAGCCGTCAAAGATATGAACCCTGAGGCGTGCAAGTCCTAAATAGATCCAAAATTGGCCCATAAGCCAAGTACTGGCGCTCAGCTCCCCTACTTAGGGCAACCAGGCGCAACTGCGAAGTGACTGGCCCTCAGCGCCTTGGTTGAGGGCAACCAAGCGTCATGCGGTGTAGCTGGCTGGCGCTCAACGCCCCAGGATGGAGCGCCCAAGTGTACTTACGAGATGAGTAGCACTCAGCGCCCAAATGGGGGCAAGCAGGCGCCCTTCAGAGACTTCCCACGCTGAGGGCCCCTAAAGGGGACAACAGGCGTAGTTGCGTGACAACCAGCGCTAAGGCCTAAGAAAAGGCAACCAGGCGCCCTACGCCTTCTTCAGCCTTCTTTCCCGGTGCTTTTGTTGTCCCTCCTAGTTCCAACTCCTTAATACTTTTGCTCTCTCTCCAAAACATATTAATAACCTACAAAAATTGAGGAATTAGTGATAAAAATCATTAAGTATAACCTCTATTCATATTTCACCAAATTCAACTAAAACAAGAGTTTAAACAAGTTTCAAAGTCAAAAAAGGTTGATTTAGTATAAAATTTGCATCACAAATAACGGTAAATTCAACCGTTATCAAGTGTGAGTCAGAGTTTTCTTCCAAATCACTAATGGTCTTTTGAAGTACAAAATCATGTTGTACTTCCCTTACTATCTCTTGAAAATCTTGCCACAAAGGTCTAGAAATGCTCTTTAATTCTAATTTTGTAGTTTCTGGTTCCTCCAATTTTTGTGACAATTCATCAGTCACCTTGTTAGTGACATCAGATTTGTATTCAATCTTAGCCCAAAATCTTGGCTAACCAGTTTTGTTGATTTGTATCCAATCTTTCTTCTTAATCAAGGAGTAAATTCTTGATTGAATAATTCTCAACTTAATGGTATAGGTGCCAATTGTACTTACGGAGCAAAATGTACCCTATGAAGATGATCTTTATGGACTTCCTCAATTCTCTATACATCAAGTAGGTTTCCTTCGGTCCTCTTCTCGATGCTCGTCCTCCATGGATGAACAATGATGTGTTTTCCAAAAACACCCAAATGCCCAAATTAATAAAGTGTATCAGATAGTAGTTGATGCGTAAAAATGAACATAAACTATTACCTCGATAGATATACTATTTATAAATTATGAATTTGTGAACTCTAACCATATGAAATTGGGTGAATCATGATTCATTTACTTTATGAGTTAATTATCTGATTCAAAATATATTAATTTAAATTATAATACATCATTAAAGTATATAAGTCTAAATTAAAATCCAATAGAATTTGATTAGCTTGTAACTAAACAACATAATATCGTGATTAATAAGACAAAGTGTTAATGTTGACAAAAACATAATAAAACTCATCAATATCTATACAATATATCGATTATAGTATAAATATGTTTTTTTTAAAAAACAAAAAATATTAAAGTCATATATATATATATATATTATAGAGACTATTTAAAAAGTTGGATAGTAACTGTATTACCATTTTAAAAGTAGTATAACCATATAAATATAATTATGATTTATGTGTCATCGTAGATATTAAATATATATATATATATAATATATCTATAATAATATATATATATATATAAGTAAGAGTATTTTACATTATTAATAAATATATTATTTACTTGACTGACAAAGCAATGCATACAAAACAATGCATCTCCACTTGTGCAAATTAGTTCCAGTGTATATTAGCTATTTGTTAAAATATGACTGAAAATAATTAACATAAAATTATGAAGAAAATTAAGAATTTTTGTCAAAAATAATTTTAAGGCGTAATTTTTTTATTTGATTAAATTATAATTTTTTGTTGCAAAAGAAAACATCATATCACAAAAAGAAAACTACTAATATAAACTCCTATCATAGTATTCATCACTCTTTTATGCAATAAGTTTCATAATTACTATCCTAATTCTAAAGATAATAAATTACTAGAAGTTATATATATATATATATATATATATATATATATATATATAATTTTGTATGTATCAAATAAATTACTAGCTAATTTTCTCAAACATTTTTAATTTAATTATTTAACTTGTAAGTCTTGAGGTAGTTTATAAGTTAATTTTACAAAACAAATCAATTACATCTAAACCAGTCAACATGTAACCACTTTATTAAATGTTTAAATATTACACATTTTTTTACTTAATCTCCATTTTATTCTTAAATAAATAAATCATAATAAAATAAAGTAAGAGATCCATGCTATCTAACAGAACAAACAAGAAGACAAAAAATGTATTAGTAAAAGAAGATTAACCAAAAAGTATAAGATAACATTACTTTTTATAAAAAGACATAAAAGTTATAATTGTAAAATAAATAATTTAAAATACACCGACTTGTAATTTAGACTTTCGTCTTCTTTCAGTTAGCATGTGACCATTACATATTGCATGTAATTTCACAATCTTTGGACTGTTTTTTTTCCTCAAATTTTGAATTTTATTATCTTTTATACATGACATATTTTTAAATTTTATCACATGAACCCTTTTCATGTTTTTAGATTTCAAACATTCATACATATTAACTAATTTGAAATTGTATAAAAATATATCACTATGAAAATTTTTCCTGTTTTAATACTTGAACAGTATGAGATAAATCAATATCAACTTCAAGATCAAAAATATTTTATATTATAATATAAACGAGTTGAGTCTTAGGGAAATATTGCCAATGGAAAAAACAAAATTAGAAAAAGAAATTGTAATTAATTTTTAGCAATAAGTGTCATGTATTCTCATTGAAATAATAGAAAATAAAGTTTGATTGTAAATTATTTGGTCAAAGAGAAGAAAAATGTAATATTTATAATGGCTCAATCAATTTTACATTACATTAATGAAAACACATACTATGTATTTAATTTTTTTATTATAAATAATTAATTTAGTTTTAGAAAATAATTAAATTTAAATAAATAATTACATAAAAGAATAAAATAAAAATTTTAATTTAAAAAGGTTTAAATTGTTTACTTAAAGATAAAAAGAATAAGATAATTATTTTAATTTTAAAAACAATTACTTAAGAAAGTAAAATTAAAAAAAAAACTGTGTACACCAGATAAGTATATTAACCAGACTTCTTTTTACATAATCTTATTTCAGTTTAAAAGTATTAGAATGAAAATAAATATTCTCATGTGTTTTTTGAAATATATTTCCAGATATATGTATTACCAGAAAAAAGAAGTACATTAATAAATAAGGAGTGAATTTCCTATCTTATATTTCAAGAACATTGTCTATGACAATAACTTATTTTAATTGCTTTTACTTTTAATTAGTTAAGTTTTATATATTTTAAGAAATCAGTAAAATACTTATCCAACAATTGAAAGTATTATTTCAAAATATAATACTGAGAAAGCAAAATTATACCTAATTTTATTTTGCTGAAATGTAACTAGTTAATTGTAGTGTGCCCGGAAGTCTGTAGTAATTTCTTAACAACTTAGTACATGAATTACTCTCAAACATAATGTTTTTTTGGAGAGTTGACATGATATTCTGACGGACTTTAAGTATTTATTAAAATCAACAAACTAAATAAATATAATAAATAAATATAAGTTAAGTATATTTTTAATTTTTAAATTAATAAAAAATTAAAATTTATTTTATTTTAAATTTTAATATAATTTAAGTTTTAAATTTTAAAAATGAATGAATATAAATCTTTTAATTTAACTGCTTAAAAAAATTATATATTAATATTTAAACTGTTTATATTATTTAGCATAATTTATGCCAATAAAAAATACAATTTAATACATTAAAAAATTTAACGTTTTTAAATTAAGAAAACTATATCTATCATTAAATTTTAAAAAAAGATATATCAAAATTTAAAATAAAAAATAATTCTAATTTCATGTATAAATTAAAAAAATTAAAAACATATTTAATTCATAAATAAATAATAAAAATTTCTTGAAAAAATAGTTAACAACTGTTCTAGAATAAAAACAGTTTTTCTTACAATTATTTATAATTTAAATTTAAATTTAATTTTGCAAGAGCTTAAAGTTGGTGAGTTGTGACATCGAAAGGTTGTATAAAAAGAGGAGAGTGGCGTGTCTTAGGTGGTAAGACTTAAAGTCTCTCACACAAAGCACTTTGTTTATTTATTTATTTATTTGTTTTCAATTTTTACGGGGTCTTCCTTTCTTTGCTGGTTTCCCTTTATCTGACTCAGAGCCGCATAGAGAAAGAGAGAGTGTTGGCAATGTCGAAGTCTCAGGCGGGCAGTGGCGGGGGCGCACCGAAGACTGCGTGGGTGCTGCCGTACCGAACAGAGAACCTGAGGGAGGTGTACACACTGGGGCGGAAGCTGGGTCAGGGGCAATTCGGCACGACCTTTCTCTGCACGCACAACGCCACTGGTCGCACCTTCGCCTGCAAGTCAATCCCCAAGCGGAAGCTTCTGTGCAAGGAGGACTACGACGACGTTTGGAGGGAGATTCAGATAATGCACCATCTCTCCGAACACCCTAACGTGGTGAGGATCCACGGCACCTACGAGGACACCTCCTCCGTCCACCTCGTCATGGAGCTCTGCGAGGGAGGCGAGCTCTTCGACAGGATCGTTCAGAAGGGCCACTACAGTGAGCGCCAGGCCGCCAACCTCATCAAGACCATTCTTGAGGTTGTCGAGGCTTGTCACTCCCTTGGAGTCATGCACAGGGACCTCAAGCCCGAGAACTTTCTCTTCGACACTGTTGAGGAAGATGCCAAGCTTAAAACCACCGATTTTGGCCTCTCTGTCTTTTATAAGCCAGGTTTGCTTCCGATCTATTTCATTCATCATTCTCCTGTCGTCCTCACTGCGATCTGACTATAGTTCTGAATGCGATCGATTCGAGGTTAGTTATTGCTGGTGGGGTCCTGTTTAAGGATGAATGTGAATGCGTTCATTTTGATCAGGTACTGAAATCGTTTTGCGCGTTAACAGTAGCTCCGCTTCTAACCTCAATCAGCACTTTAACAAAAATTCTTGCTTCTGGTTTTCATTATTTTTTCTTATCTTTCCCTTGATTGATGCTTAGTCATTGTTTGTTTAATTTGGATAGATCGATTTATTTCCGCCGGCTTGTTGCTGCTTCGAAGCAGAAATACAGAATCATATTTTAGAATGCTTCATAGTAGCTGATTCTGGCTTGGTGTTTTCTTAGTGCTTTTATATGAAAAATATGCTATGAAGTCGAGCCTCTTGGCCTAGTGGTTGCTGAGATTTTCATTTAATGGTTTTATAAGCCTATTTTTTGTTACTCCTTTTCTGTAAAAGCAGCAGTTGTTGGTTTGAGCAGCAATTAATGAAGTTTCACTAATTTTACAAATCTGATTCCAAGTGGATGAGTTGACAAATTCACGTCATCTTAGATACAGATATAGTTTAATACCAAAATACAAAATGTGATGAATTCTATTTTTGTCTCGTAGATTGAATTGAAATCACGATCTTCATGTTTCGGGACATATATAAAAAAGTGATTTTTATTTTTATGGTTTTTATTGGGTTCAACGGAGATGAAGCCAGAAAGGCAATAGGGTGTATATAACGAACCAGCAATCCATAAATGGTTTAGTTATTAGTTGATACATATGACTGATGTATGATTTAATACGGTATCTATAACACAATCACTACCAGATAATCTGGAATCCCTTCCATATTGTGGATGGTTAACACAATGATGTACTTTTCAGGTGAGACCTTCTGTGACGTTGTTGGAAGCCCGTACTATGTTGCCCCAGAGGTGCTGCGTAAGCATTATGGACCTGAATCAGATGTTTGGAGTGCTGGTGTTATTTTGTACATCTTATTAAGTGGGGTGCCACCATTTTGGGCTGGTAGTTACATGTCACCTTCACCTTAAATTATCAATTGTTTTCATCGTTACTGATACTTCTCTGCCATTTTTGTCATTTTCAGAAACTGAGCAGGGGATTTTCCGACAGATTTTACTAGGAAGACTTGATTTCCAGTCCGAGCCATGGCCCAGCATTTCAGACAGTGCCAAGGATCTTATTCGAAAAATGCTTGATCGGAATCCAAAAACAAGGCTTACAGCTCACAAAGTACTCTGTGAGTCTATTCAACATCTTTTATATTGAGGAAGCAACCAGCATGATTTTTATGAATATTTGCACAATTTTGGGAAAGGAGTTCAAACTTGTAACACTTGTTGTGTGGTTTCTGTGTCAGGTCACCTATGGATTGTTGATGACAACCTTGCACCAGATAAACCTCTTGATTCTGCTGTTTTATCACGCCTAAAGCAGTTCTCTGCAATGAACAAACTTAAAAAGATGGCTTTACGTGTAAGGCTGTAAACCATTTTAGTTGGGCGTAATGATTTCTGTGTGCTGAGTGCTGACCATTTAAAAACAATTTAATCTCTTATGAATACCCTGTTTTGTCTTCTTTTAGAATGGATTGTTAATTATATCAATTTTTGGTAGAAATTAGGTTAATTATAATTTCTTTTAACTTTTAATTTTAAAAAATCACTCGTTTAAGTTTTTAATTTACTACTTAAAATTCATAATATCATGACTCCTTGATCGTGGGAATGGATATTTTCATTTGCAATGTGAAGTATAATGAGATCTTGGCAGTGGACCATTTTATCATTGTTATGATTGAAGATGAATTTTACTAACGTATATTTCTAAATTGATTATATCAGTACTATGAGATTATAATATTATGAATAGTTAAAGATAGTGTAATACTTTTGGAGTTACTATAGTGTAATTTGATCATTTTCTACACGTGTAGATATATTTAGTAAGAGTGGTATTTTAATAAGAGTGAAAGAAATAAGTAAAGAGAAAAATACAATTTAATGTTATGTGATTACTTAGAAAAATGCTATGATTATTTTTATAATAAATAATTCTCATATGTTTTTTAATTTTGATAGTTTATAATATAACAATCAATAGTTATTTTTCGTTTTGTAATTTGAACTTCATTTTTTTATTCTTTTTGGTTCTGGGCTTTTGGTACAATAAGAGATATCTTATGCAAAGTAATGTAGTGCAGCCAGTGTCATAATAAGAACTTATTATTGTCTGTACATTATTTATCTTAATTTTTTTTTTGCACTTTATATTGTATGAGTTGTTATTATTTTATTTTTCGGTACAACATTGGTATAATAAATCTCTTTAATTTATACTTCTTTTTTATTTAGTCGGCTTGTTCGTCGAATGGAAAGAAGAATTCGATAGAAAAACATTTATAATATAAACATTTATAAACACTGGTATGAGTGTGTTTTTGCCTGCAGGAATGCCACCTGTTTCGATAGGCATTAGATTCTCTCAAAGAATCACTGGACATCTGTTTGAACCAAAAGTTTTTGAATCTTTATCCCCATAGGGAACATTACAAATTTTGAATTTGAAGAATTTTTTACAGTGAATAATATGATAAATGGCTTTTTATATGTCCACGTTGTACTGTTGTTAAAAACACATTAAATAAAGATTAACTCTTGCTCAGGCTCTTAACCAACCTTATAACCAAAGCAAGAACAAGGGCTTATACATACATTAGAACCAGGAACCGATATACTGGGTGGAGGCCATTGTCTTTTATCAGCAGCTGTCATCAGTTAGATGAATTTCATTGATATGAAGTCTGATTTTTTCTTTTATTTTCTGTTAGTTTTGGTTCTCTGTTATGAACTCCATTATCCTATACGTGTGTTCGATATAACCAAAGACATTCTCAACTTGACAGTTGTATTGTTTTTCATGCATTAACCTTAAAATTGGAAGATGTGGCTTGCAGGGTTTCAGTTCTGAAGGAACGTGACCTTGTTTTACATTTGGCATGATTATTATCCAAAACTGTTTCTTTACGTCCGTTTTTTTCTGATCTTTTTTTATCAATGTCAATATTTTATGTTGTGCTTTAGTTGAATTGTCATAAATAAACACAAATGAATTGCTGTCACTTTCTTCCCAGCCTTGGGCCATAGTTGTGTTGCTTAGTTTGAGTATTAAATCTTTTTCAAGTTTTTCAGCTTTGACTTAATGGCTTGATTTTCTAATTCTATCAGAAACTCTTCTTGAATGGGGAGTTGAAATCCATTTCCTAGTATTCCATGTCAAATCCTAATACCGTGATATTTACAATTTTGTATGCTTTAAAGGTTATTGCGGAGAGGCTCTCTGAGGAAGAAATTGGTGGTCTGAAGGAGTTATTTAAGATGATCGATGCAGATAATAGTGGAACTATAACATTTGATGAGCTAAAAGAAGGGTTAAAGCGGGTGGGATCTGATCTAATGGAGTCTGAAATCAAGGATCTAATGGATGCAGTAAGTCCATTTGCTTTTGTTATCTGTGCTGTTTTGCCTTGAATGTTTAACTGTTGAACGAGATGTATGATCTTGCACGTTACAGGCAGATATTGATAACAGTGGGACACTTGACTATGGTGAATTCATTGCTGCTACGGTTCACTTGAATAAGTTGGAGAGGGAGGAAAATCTGGTGTCAGCTTTCTCCTATTTTGACAAAGATGGAAGTGGTTACATAACCATTGATGAGATACAACAGGCTTGTAAGGATTTCGGTTTGGAGGATGTCCATATTGATGAAATTGTCAAAGAAATTGATCAAGACAACGTAAGTATACGTTTTTTTTTCCTGCTATCTAGCGGTTGTTTGTAGTTGTCATAAGTTTCTTCAACACTACCTGTTCTTTGGGTTAATGGAAGATATGTTGTGCAGGATGGACAGATAGATTATGGGGAATTTGCTGCCATGATGAGAAAGGGCAATGGAGGAATCGGCAGGCGAACCATGAGGAGCACCCTCAACTTCAGAGATGCTCTGGGAATTATAGGACATGGGTCTGATGATTAAATAATTGTACCTTAAAATAATTATTTGGTGATGAAATTTTGAACAAGAAAAACTTTGGTGAGTATGGACAACTTGAGTAGCCTGACCAAAACTTGCATTTATGAATAGACCCATGGTTAAAAAATAACCTTCGGTACATGTATAGTTTTAGAAAAGGAAAAGAATTGGACGGCTTTATATTTTCACTTTAACTTTTTACACACGCAGCATGACGAGATAAGTGTGGTTAAATGAGAATCAATTAAGAATTTATGCTTTAGAACCTTAAAACAAGAGAGAGAACAATGACAAGGAAATGTCTATCTAGCTGGTCTGTTACTCCACTGACAAGTGAATCTCGCAAGAGTTACTCTTTCATTGAGCTAATTTGTATAAACTGTAACGGGACAAATAGATTATACGATTGATATAATGAAAACAACGAGTGTCATTTCAAAAGGAACTGAATCGGAATAGACCAGCTCAGAAGGCCAATAAAGAACAAACATCGCTCCACATGACTATATATCCATCCATCAATAAATGAAGATTTAAGTAATAATGATTGTCAAGATTCAAATATATACATACATTATAAGATTCAAAATGAAAAAGGTAGAGAACAACTTCGAGCATACATGGTCCTCATCGTTTAAAAATAAGGAGATGCCCCTTTGTAACAACAAGAACTGGTACAGAAAATTCAAAGTATTGAAGTAATTGCATGAGATGGAGGAAACTTAATCAGAAGAGCGAGACAACATTTAACTTGAACCGTATATTATGGTGCAATTTGGTCCTTCACATTTTACTGGAAGCAGGAAGAAATTTGGTATGTCTTCCCTGGACAAAAATTTTGCCAGTTTTTTTCTTCTTAAACTCTACGCTTATAACAGCAACAACCTTCCCAACACGCAGTGCTCTGGCCTCGATCTCAATCTCCTCCTTACACAACAATGTAAAAGTATTATTACCGCAGTAATATTTTTGCATTACCCATTATCAGAAACCACAATAACAACTCCTTAAATTCCACTCCTCCAATTACATGTTTGAAACAATCAGACTGATATTGCATTAATTCAAAGAATAGTTCATGTCAACCAATCAAGTTCTCCAACACACCACACCCCCACCTACCTCAAATAGAAAAGGCAGAGATAAAGATTTTTACTTTTCTGCTGATGATTTGCAAAATAGTTCCCTAATAATCAGAGAAGTTAAGGTGGCCAAGTCTAGAACTTGAGCAACATGTTTGGTCAAAACTACACATTTCAGCAACCTTCACCATGAATATCCCTTTTACCATCTCGGAAATTCAAAACCCATATCCCTTTTACCCCCTTGACCACGAATACACATTAAACTAATGTTCTTCTAACGCCACTGTTACTCAATTCAATACAGCGAGACAGAAAGTCCAAGGAAGAAACACCAAAGATGACCCCTTGCATTTTGAAGAGCAATTAAAGGAACAAAAATCAGCACCCAAACCAAGCCTGACACCGTACTATGATTCATTTATCAAGTAAATGGATCATTATAACAAATCACAAATCAATAATCAAAGGAGATAGATAGTTTGATGAGATACATCGACATAGGCAGCATCCAAGTAGGAAACATTAATCTCAACGGAAACCCCCGTATTGGGACCTGAATACCCAACTGTGGGAATCACGGCGGAACCCACTATATCCACCAGCGCAGCGGCGGCACCACCGTGCAACGTATTGCCAGCGTTCTGCACAAACAAAATCCAATAAGAGAATTAAAACGAGAAAATAAAAATATAAAAAAGAAAGACGAAAGAAGAAAAAGGTGTGAGCGAGTGCACGTACGAGTAAACGTTGAGGTATCTTCATGGAACAGAGAATGCGACCAGGTTCGATGAGATCAACCTTAAGCGAATTCATTATTAGGGGTTCCAGAAACCTTGGTGGCAACCCATCAACCTCAGATGATGTTCCCACTCCTTTCTCCAAGTACCTCTTCACTGCTTCCAACTCCATTTTCACTCTCTCCCAATCCAATTCCAAACTTCTCCTTAATTTATTTTCTTTCTTTTATATGTTCCCAAAATTTCACTTTTTTCTTCTTGCCCAAAGTTGACTTTCAATCCTCCGTTTTAATTATCATAATACATGGAAATCATATACTTATGTACATTTCACAGTCTCTCTAATAACATAGTAATGGTTTCATGTATTCGTAGGTAAAGTTTGCTACGATGAATTCACCTATAAATTTTTGTAATTTACTTACCAACTTTTGCTGTAAGTAATGATTACACATAAAAAAAAATTTAAAGATTTGAAAAAATGTTTGAAATGTGAATTATTACTGTATAATTAAAAAAAAGCCGTGGATATTATATATTCCTATATTTATAATTATTTTACTTTAGTAGTCTTCTTTAATTATTTATAATTATGATAATATATTATAATATATAAACTAGATCATTATTATACATTGGATGAGAATCATTATTCTATTCGTAATTAGAAGTAACTAGGAAAAAGTATTATTTTGCATTAATCAATTTTTTTTCCATTGTTTTAAATATACTAATTGAATATCACTATTTTATCTTAAAAAAATAGCCATATGAATAAAAATAATCTCACAATTTTCCTACCCAATATAAATAATCAACACACAAATAAATTAGCTTATCTAGAATAATAGCATTATGAAAATAATCATTACTCAATAAAATAATAAAAATGATAGCAATTAAATTTTAACTTAATAAACAAAAATAGTATAATAAAAACACTGTGAAGATTTAACTCAATATGATCTTGTTTAAGAGGTTTCTAGATGACTGTCGTAGTTAAATGATTCAAAAATTACATGCAGTAGACAATACATGTAGTAAGTGAAGATAAATGATTAGTCTTGTATCGTCTAGTATATATCAATGTACAATTTGGTTGAATCTTCTAATGGGCTATCATCTAGTGGCTACTAAGCTTCTATGTTAGAAGCATTTGTTCATGCACTGTCTTCAGATTTGAGTTGTGTCTTGAGGGCCAACAGAGGGTTTAACTATTTTTTTCCCTCTTTTAATGTTTTTATGTTTTTATCTTTTTAGTTTTATTTTAATATTTATCTTTTTATTTTTTAATTTTTTATATGTTTAATCTTTTTATTTTTATTTTTATTTTTTAATTTTATTTTTTTCCAATCTTTTTTATTTTTTTAATAAATACCTTTTTTAATTTTTTTTCATTCCTATCTTTCTATCTTTCTATTTTTTTTATATTAACTTTTTATCTTTCTATCTGCTTCAATTTTTTTTTCTTTTTTAATTTTTTTATACATATTTGTGCTTAATTAAGTGCTCTAGTGTAGTGTTCTTTAGTGTTTTGCAGGATTTAAAATTCAAAAATCTGTACTAGGAGCACACAGATCATCAAGAGAAGAAGCCAACATCTATGATGGATGTTTTAGGTGATTGAGTATCTACTGAAGGATACTATGCTATCCAGACACTTACTACATTAGAGTGTTTGGGTGAAAAGGATTTTGCATCTACTGATGGATGCTAGGGATTGAGTATCTACTGAAGGATTTATGTTACTGAACACTTACTGATGTTTTGTGTGATAAAGATATGCGTCTACTCAAGATGCTGAGGATTTTGGGTCAGGCCGTTCGTGAAACGTTAAAACAAGCGCTACCTGGGAACCCCCAGTTTCTAAACTTGTCTTTTTTTTAATTTTTGTGAACTTTTTAATTTGCTTTTCTGTTTCTAGAATAGTTTTATGATGTACTTTGGCTTAAAATTTAAATCTGTGATGCAATGGTTTGATGGTGGATGTTATGTTTTTGTGATTGAGTGTTGCTTTTATGATGCTAATTATAATTATTAAAGTGTTGAGATGATGCATGATTGCTAATTAACACAGGTGGTTTGCTCATATATTGTAAAAACATATGCATGATGATTTTCAATTGTGATTATATGTTGGCCCGGATTTTTATCCAAATTGTGGAACTTGTAATGTTTAACCTGTGAGAGAACTAGGCTCCAGAATTTTTGATTAATAATTGAGTGCTATTACTTTGGAAGCATGATTGATTTTGCCTAATTTCCTATGATTGAACCAACGTTGCTAGCTTTTTTACAAATGATCAAGCAGGCCATGTTTTTTTCTTCTCAAAAAAAACCTTAGAGCCAATGTTTTAAGGTGAACCTAATAAAGATC